AAAGGACCTGAGCTTCCTAGGGAAAAAGAGCCAGCTCTGCCCCTTCCGGTAGATGGCATCTGTGTTCAGGGACCAGTCCAGTTTACTGTCCAGGTGCACACCTAGGTATTTAAGTGTGCACCACCTCAATGTCCTTCCCTCGAATGTTGACTGGCTGAAGAGTTGGTCAGACCTCCGAAAAATACAGATCCCTGTACTCCTTTTCCTGCCCATTCCTAATACGCGCCACAATAGCTTCATCATCTGAGTATTTCTGGATGTGGCAAGACTCAGAGTTATGTTTAAAGTCCGCCGTATACAGGGTAAACAGGATATTAATGTTCATGAGGCCAAAATCATGATTTGTGAGGTCACCATGACCATGACCTTTATCCTTTGACCACCAAAGTCTAATCACGTTATCCGTGAGTCCAAGTGGACATTTGTGCAAAATTTGAAGGGATTCCCTTTAGGAGCTCTGGAGATATTGCGTTTACAAGGCCAAAATCATGATTTGTGATGTCACTGTGACCTTGACCTTTGACCTCCAAAATCTAACCAGTTTGTCCTTGAGTCCAATTGAATGTTTTTTACCAAATTGAAGAAATTCCCTCAAGGTGTTCTGGAGAAACGTATACAGTATTTAGTTCGTTCGTTCGTTCGTCGTCTCCCGCTTATCCGGATCCGGGTCGCGGGGCAGCAGCCTCAGCAAAGAGGTCCAGACAGCCCTCTCCCCAGCCACTTCCACCAGCTCCTCCGGGAGAATCCCGAGGCGTTCCAAGGCCAGCCGAGAGATATAATCCCTCCAGCGTGTCCTTGGTCGGCCCCGAGGCCTCCTCCCGGTGGGACATGCCCGAAACACCTCCCCGGGGGGGGGCGTCCGGGAGGCATCCATACCAGATGCCCGAACCACCGCAACTGGCTCCTCTCGACATGGAGGAGCAGCGGCTCTACTTCGAGTCCCTCCTGGATGACCGAGCTCCTCACCCTATCTCTAAGGCTGAGCCTGGCCACCCTGCGGAGGCCGCTTGTATTCGCGATCTCGTTCTTTTTGTCATTACCCAAAGCTCATGACCATAGGTGAGGATTGGAACGTAGATCGACCGGAAAATTGAGAGCTTCGCCTTCCGTCTTAGCTCCCTCTTCCCCACAACGGACCGATTCAGCGCCCGCATCACTGCTGACGCCGCCCCAATCCGCCTGTCGATCTCCCGCTCCATCCTACCCTCACTCGTGAACAAGATCCCGAGATACTTAAACTCCTCCACCTGAGGCAAAGCCTCCCCCCCGACCTGGAGCGGGCAATCCACCCGTTTCCGGCTGAGAACCATGGCCTCAGACTTGGAGGTGCTGATCTTCATCCCAGCCGTTTCACACTCGGCCGCGAACCGCCCAAGCGAGAGCTGAAGGTCGGCGCTCGATGAAGCTAGGAGGACCACATCATCCGCAAAAAGCAGAGACGAGATCCTCCCGCCACCGAACCCAAACCCGTCCACCACCCGGCTGCGCCTAGAAATTCTGTCCATAAAAGTTATGAACAGAACCGGTGACAAAGGGCAGCCCTGGCGGAGTCCAACCCTCACCGGGAACAGGTCCGACTTACTGCCGGCTACGCGAACCAGACTCACACTCCTTTGGTACAGGGATTTAATGGCCACTAACAAGGGGCCATCCACCCCATACTCCCGGAGTGCCCCCCACAGGGAGCCCCTGGGAACACGGTCGTAAGCCTTCTCCAAATCCACAAAACACATGTGGACTGGATTGGCAAACTCCCATGCTCCCTCCAGCACCCTAGCGAGGGTAAAGAGCTGGTCCACAGTTCCACGCCCAGGACGAAAACCACATTGCTCCTCCTCGATCTGAGGTTCAACTATCGAACGGACCCTCTTTTCCAGTACCCTGGCATAGACCTTACCAGGGAGGCTGAGGAGTGTAATTCCCCAGTAGTTGGAACACACCCTCTGGTCACCCTTCTTAAAGATGGGGACCACCACCCCGGTTTGCCACTCCAGAGGCACTGCCCCCGTATCCACGCAATGTCGCAGAGGCATGTCAACCAAGACAGTCCTACAACATCCAGAGCCTTGAGATACCCAGGGCGGATCTCATCAATCCCCGCGGCTCTGCCACCGCGCAGTTGTTAAACTACCTCGGCGACTTCTGCCCCAGAGATTAGATCATCCATCCCCAGGTCTCTTGGCTCTGTTTCCTCCACGGAATACGTGTTGGTGGGATTGAGGAGCTCCTCAAAGTATTCCTTCCACCGTCCGACTATATCCTCAGTTGACGTCAGCAGCTCCCCGCCCCCACTGTAAACAGTGTGAGCGAGTTGCCGCCTTCCCCCCCTGAGGCGCTGGACGGTTTGCCAGAACCTTTTTGGAACCGATCGATAGTCTTCCTCCATTGTCTCACCGAACTCCTCCCACGTCCGAGTTTTTGCCTCAGCAAATGCCGCGGCTGCACTCCGCTTGGCCCGCCGGTACCAGTCAGCTGATTCCTGAGACCCACAGGCCAACCACGCCCTGTAGGCCTCCTTCTTCAGCCTGACGGCTTCCCCCACCCCTGGTGTCCACCAGCGGGTACAGGGGTTACCGTCGCAGCTTGCAACAGCCGCCTCAACAGTAGCAGAGCGGAACAAGGCCCATTCGGACTAAATGTCCCCCACTGCCCTCGGGACGTGATCGAAACTCTGCCGGAGGTGTGCGTTGAAAATCATCTTGACGGGTTCTTCCACCAGGTTTTCCCAGCAGATCCTCACAACCCCTTTGGGCCTGCCAGGTTTGCGCGGCATCTTCCCCCGCCATCTGATCCAACTCATCACCAGGTGGTGGTCGGTTGACAACTCTGCTCCTCTCTTCACCCGAGTGTCCAAAACATGCGGCTGCAGGTCTGATGATACGACTACAAAGTTGATCATAGACCGGCGACCTAGGGTGTCCTGGTGCCAAGTGCACCTGTGGACATCCTTATGTTTGAACATGGTGTTAGTTATGGCCAAGCTGTGACTAGCACAGAAGTCCAATAACTGAACGCCGCTCGGGTTCAGATCGGGCAGGCCGTTCCTCCCCACCACACCCTTCCAGGTCACGCTGTCATTGCCCACGTGAGCGTTGAAGTCTCCCAGTAGGACAATGGAGTCCCCTTTCGGGGCACTTTCCAGCACCCGTCCCAAGGACTCCAAAAAGGGCGGGTAGTCTGAACTGCTGTTCGGCGCATAAGCACCGACAACAGTCAGAACCCGATCCCTGACCCGGAGGCGCAGGGACGCAACCCTTTCGTCCACTGGGGTAAACTCCAACATACAGGCAGAGAGCCTGGGGGACACCAAAAAGCCCATCCCGGCCCTCCGCCTCTCACCCGGAGCAACTTCAGCAAAGAGGAGAGACCAGCCCCTCTCAAGGACTTGGGTTCCGGAGCCGACGCTATGTGTCGAGGTGAGGCCGACTATATCTAGCCAGTATCGCTCAACCTCTTCCTCAAGCTCCCGCTCCTTCCCCGCCAGAGAGGTGACGTTCCATGTTCCAAAAACCAGTTTCTGTAACCGAGGATCGGACCGCCAAGGCCCCCGCCTTGGTCTGCTGCCCAATCCATAATGCACCGGATCCTGCTGACTCTTCCTGCAGGTGGTGAGCCCACTGGGAGATGAACCCATGTAGCCGGTTCAGGCTGGGCCCGGCTGGGCCCCATGGGCCAAGGCCCGGCCACCAGGCGCTCGCCCACGGGCCCCAACCCCAGGCCTGGCTCCAGGGCGGGGCCCTGGTGTCCCTCAGGGCCGGGTACTTGGGTTCTTGATATTTCTCATCATTAGGATCTTCTGAACCGTTCTTCGTCTGGCCCTTTACCTAGGACCAATCTGCCTTGGGAGACCCTACCAGGGGCAAAATGCCCCCGACAACATAGCTCCTAGGGTCATTAGGGCTCTCAAACTCCTCCACCACGGTAAGGTGACGGTTCAAGGAGGAGACAGTATTTAGTACTATATCTATCTACTATAACTAAATCACAGTGAACAGGGTTTTTCCTGCATAGACAATTTGGAGGCGGTTGCCTCCGTCAAATTTCATGCTGCCTCCACCTCAAACAGGTGTATAGTTTCCACCTGTCCCATATAATATGGGATCGTCCCATAGTTGAAAATAAACGCTCCGCATCCCAACAAAATTCTAGTCCTTTTTTTCTCGGTATGCGGTGGATTTGAATCAAGAGCAATCTACAGATGTTTAACAGGAATCCATCCATCCATCCATCCATGTGAACATCTGGTGGATCCATGACATGAAGAATTGAGGAACTACCCAGTAATAGTGTGAGGTACCTAATGAAGTGATCACTGAGTGTATATGTGTATGTAAATGAGTTCATAAAGAGAAAAAGAGTTAGAGAACTCTTCTCACCAACATTATTAACATTATTAACAAATTATTTATTTATTTTTTAAAGTTATTTTTGGGGCAGTTTTTGCCTTTATTAGGATAGGGACAGTGAGAGAATGGAAAGTTAGGGAGAGAGGGGGGATGACATGCAGCAAAGGGCCATGGGTCAGACTTGAACCCATGGCCGCAGCGATAAGGACCGAGCCTAAGTTCTACGCGCTCTACCAGTTGAGCTTCCGGGGTGCCCCATTAACAAACTATTTATTAACAAACCTTCAGCCTGTGTGGAACAAGGCTGGTCATCAGTCCTGGATCAGAAGGATCATAGTGGATCACCTAAATGAGACTCACTGAGACACGTAACCCTGAACACCCCAGTTTTATTCAACAGGTAAAACTGAACATAGTTCATGGGTGAGGGCATTCTGTGGTTTGAAGGAGAATCGGCTTTCTGTGTGTGTGTGTGTGTGTGTGTGTATGTGTGTGTGTGAGTGTGTGTTTGTGTGCACACTGATGACAGCTGAGTACACTCTGACTGAAATGACCTGATCAACCCACCCCTCCCTCTTTCTGCTACGTCAATGCCCTTTTCTGTCCACATAAGGAGGCTTTGTCCACAAGCCACTCTGCAGCCAAGTGAACAACAGGGGCCCCTGGGGACTCTGGGACCAGTCTGGGAGCCGTCAGGGGACAAAGCACCCATTACACCTACAGGAGGACTGAAGGTTTGTGGAGTCTTCAGGAGTGAAGAGCAGAAACAAACAGTAAGTTCATCATTTTGTTTCCAGTTATTCAGCAGTTGATGGTCAGTACATTGTTCCTGCTCATACACTGTTCCTGTTCATACAGTGTTCCTATATGCTTTTCCTGTTAGTACACTGTTCCTGTTCAAACACTGATCCTGGATGTTGAAAAGAAAATCCATTCAGGTACTGTATACGTTTGCTGGAAGTAGCCGGCAGATATTTTTGATTTCCAGAGCCTGATTTAATCTCTGCTGGAATTCCTCCTGTGTGCAGATGGATTACAGCGGAACCAGATTAAGACCTGTTCTAGTTTCATACAGGTCTTAGTTCAGTGAAGAATGAATGTGAACATTAGTATCTAAAGTTGTAGGTTTTTTATCTGCAGCTCCAGTCTGTAGGGTGAGTGTCAGTGGTCCTGATGGACCTCATTCAGATGACTGCAGCAGTCTTATGCTTATAGTGGATATAAGTATCAGTATAGCCACAGCTCTCAGGGAACAGCCTGCACCCACTGTCCCAGTAGACCAGCACTCACACAGTCCTGTCATATTCCAAAACAAACATTCCTCTGGCAGTCTGACTAAACAGCTAACAATGCTCCTTTGGCTCACTAATCAGGGAGGGACCGCTGTTCAGATTTTAACAGTCTCAGACCTGAGTAATGGTCCAGATCACTGATAAAAAGAAAATATTGTCATCACTCACTTCCACATGCAACAGTTCACGATTTCATTATTGTAGCGTGAGCACCACAATTTAGAATTTGCTCCCATTGAAATGGGGGAACCATTTCTCAGGTAGGACAATGATGAATTACCTAATTGATTAATGTGATCAATCTCATATCAGAAGCCATGACTTCTCTATTCAATGGATCTCCAGTCTCTACTTCAAAGAACACAACAGGATAATGACAGACTGTAAATAAGAAGTTTATTAACTAGACTACTATCTACAGAGTAAAAGCAACATTAATAATCACAAAGATGAAAATAATATTGAAATGAGCTGTGTGAAGAGTTGGCAATGGTGGGAGAGAATATGTTATGGCTATACACTATGGCTATATAGCTAATGATCACCACATCTTATATACTTACCAATTTTATTTACAATGAAAACACTCATTCACCAAAGTGTCCCGTTAGATTCATCATGAAGCATATGGTAAATATGAAAAAAACATACTCAGTATAATTTGATCACAGTAGGTTTATTTATAAAACACCGTTTTGATGACAATTAAGTTATGAATAAAACCAATGTACATGAGCTGTACTATACTGACAACTCCTTCAAAATCTTAAATGTCAATTTTCAGCTCACACTAAAGATTGCATAAGGCAAATACATACGTAACAGCAGCACACATCTACTGAGTGTCTCGTTTTGCTCCAGGTTGCAGTTCTGGTGGGTCAGTTCCATCTGTTTCCTACTGAACACCGTTTTGATGTTAAATTGGTAAATACTTTCACCTGGGAAGGTGGTGACTGTGCAAGAGCTGAACAGATTCTGTTCTTAAAATGTTATTACTATTATCTATCAACAACAGTAGAAATGAAGTAAAAGGCAAGAAATTGAACCTGTGAATACTGAGGACAGATAATAATAAACAAAACAAATGTCTAAACAGCTGGTCTGTTCTCTCATTCTAGTAGGCTGAACTGAAAGTGGTTTTCTGGCATCATCATCCCAGCCCATTTCAGAATTAAGTCCATGCAGTTTCACTTGTCCTTACATGAGGTCCTCCTTCTGTAGGCACCATTCCTTCAGTTTTCAGTGTGTGTACCTTTGAATGACAGTAAAAGACAAACACTTTAGTTCAGCCATGGTGGATCACAGTTAATGACACACATATACCAGCTGTCAGGATAGGTGCATGAATATCTGAAGTTGAGGACTGCTGTGTATGAATTTACAGTATTAAATGACAAACCCCTACAAGATGATATTCTTGTATACATTGTGTATTGTACTCAATAAAATTAGACACCAGCGAGAAGAGGAGACAGAAAATAAGTTAAAGAGATAAACCTGAATGTTTTGCTGTATGTTTTTTCTATAACATCATAGTAACTTCATTGTTAAATTGTATTTATCCTTGTCCTGCAAATGTTTGCATGTTTGGGACCAGGTACGGTTAGCATAGCAAACACTAAATTATCAGCTAGCTAGCTAGCTAGGTTAGCAAAGTGCATCCATAATTCACATTAACTCTAATATCAATTTGGATGTTAACCTTCTTTCATTCTGTGGTCAAAACACGTAGAAAAAAACGCACTAGCTTTTGGGGTGCATCATACACATTAAAATCTGTATATCAGCATCCATCCAGTTTGGTAAGTAAATGTTTATTTTCTTAATTATAATATTTAACAGTTTTTAATGCGTATGTGAGTACCAAAGAACGAGCCATAATTACTGTGAACTGAAAACTTAAAACAAAATAAAACAGCAAAACTATGGGTGCAAAATTCCTCTACCGACAAATATTGAGAAAATAATAGAAATTTAACACAACTGTTTCAATACAATGCGCAAGATCCAAGTTCTCCTCCAGTGACTGACCTCCCGACCTGCCTTGTCAGCTTATCAATCATTGCAGACCAGCCATGTCAATTAACCAGGCATGCCCCCAAAACGGGTTTGTAAGGCCTAATATGTAATTAATTAGATGATTATTTTCAGATAGATCTACAGAACACTGAACAAGAGGTGTGAATTTAGTCCTTCACACCGTAATGAGTTGTGTAAATTTTTAATTGACTGAGTATTTTAATTGAGAAGTTGGCGTTTTTTGAATGGGTGTGTATTGGACCCACAGTTTTTTGGAGCCAGCCCCCAGTAGTATTGCACTTAAATTCACTTCCGCATTGGTTTCACTTCTCAGCCCCACAGCCTTCGTTCATTTTTATATACAGTCTATGGCTTCAACCAAAACGCCTTCCATTTCAACTGAGCATTTCAGCTGTGTATATGAAAGCATTTTAGTAGTATGTGTGCAAGCATTTCATTTGTATGTTTGTGAGGATTTCTGTTGTTTGTGTGTGAGTTTTCAGTTGTGTGTGAGTGTTTCAGTTGTGTGTATGAGAGCGTTTCAGTTCTGTGTGTGAGAGCGTTTCAGTTGTGTTTATGAGAGCGTTACAGTTGTGTGTGTGAGAGTGTTTCAGTGTGTGTATGAGAGCGTTCCAGTTGTGTGTATGAGAGTGTTCCAGTTGTGTATATGACAGTCTTTCAGTTGTGTGTGTCAGAGTTTTTCAGTTGTGCATGTAAAAGGTTTCACTAGTTTTTATGAGAGGTTTTCAATTGTGTATGTGATCGCATTCTTATTCAGTTGTTTGTGTGAGAGGATTTCAGAAATATGTGTAAAAGGTTTCACTAGTATATATGAGACTTTTTCAGTTGTGTATGTGTGAGTAGAATTTTTCAGTTGGGTGTGAGAGTAGTGTGTGTAAAACGTTTTCACTTGTATGTATGTGAAATTTTCAGTATAGTATGTGATTGAGTATTGTTTCATATGTGTATATTCATGGTAATTCTAGATAATGTTCCTGACGGCCCCTTATAATTAAATATTGTCTATTGTATATTTCGACATCAACCCAATCATAAGTAGAATGTTAAGACCAGTCTACTGTGAGTTGTGCTGTAGCTGGAGACCCTTGGCTGGAACCCAGGTGGCCTCCCCCTGAGGTGTCTCAGCAGTTCAGCTCTGGTGGAGTTTACCAGGAGACTTTCTGTCTCAGGCACTCTTGATTTCTGGTAGGCTTCTTTGCAGGCGGTAGTGGGCAGATATGTCATCTGTTGGTGTATCTTGCGGGTTGATGTGAAATAAACTCTATCAAACTTAACTTGGCTGGATAACTTTAGAGGAGACTGGCGCTGACCAGATGACTCTTAAACTGTTGAAAATCTTTAAGAAAATGAAACGTAATAATAATTAAAGTTACAAATATAACTCTGAGGCACTTCTGTTGTTTTGGTTCAGTTGGTCTTTACTTGGCTTATAAAATTAGAAGATCGCATGTGTAGAAAAAATTTTTTTACTTGGAGCACCTGGCAAAGAAAGAATAAAGAAAGCGGACAGAATGATGAAGTGCAAAATGGCTAAGAGCTGTGGCTATAAGTTATGAGCTAAGAGTGTTTGCTAAGAGCTTAGAGCCTAGAACTTAACGCTAAGAGGAGCTAAGGAGCTAAGAGCAATGTGTGAAAAGATCACAACTGTTTTATCCCCTGGGGGCTGGTGCACGCTTCAGGGGCGTCATCCATCTTTTCCTGTGTTTCAACTTGGAGAAGAGAGTAATTTTCCATGGAACTTTTGAATTGCTTAATTCTAGAGTTTACCTTTTAAAACTTGCACATCCATCTTCCACCATGACCATAAATCATTAAATTAAACAACATATAAACCTAATGCCACTAATAATGACAGACAGGAATAATACACGTGTGTTTCATATTAACTGATATACATATATGTATATTATGTGTGAAACAGCAGAGTATCAATATGATTAGCAGTGTGATGATCATGCTGTGAGCGATCAGATGTGTGTCTGTCATAAAGGTGTAGTCTTTTTTCTTCTAGCTGGGTCACTTGAGAACTTAAGAAGTAAAAGGGAATCGATTGTCTTTCATTTCTTCATTCACTGTGTGACTTTCAGTAAAAATGAACTAGTCACAACAACTTATTAGCAGAAGATAAGGACTGAGGTATCTTAGAATAAAACTGAGGTCAGTGGTAATGAAAGAAAACATCGTTCTTTGTTCTTTGTCTTTCATTCTTCTTCAAACGGGTTTCTCTCTGATCAACCTTTTTTTGGTAAAATTACATCATAGGTCACTGGGTTAATAAACCAATGGCATGCTGTAATGCTCAGACTGGGGGTGATCCACACAAATAAAGACCAGTCTCCAAATACAAGTGGATGACCTGCTGGTTCCTGTCATAATGGACATGGCAATTTGCATAATGTATATTTCTACCTCTTTAATAAAATGATGTTGTTTCTAACACTTAACTGCTGAGTTAGTAACAGGAGTGGAGTGGTGTGTGGTGTTTCAATGAGTTTGTGAACTTCTTATGTTTTTGGACACTACCAGTAACGTAAGTTAGAAATGACGGGTCCCAGTGTAAGCTATTATGATGGGCTGCCAGTCAAGAAGCAAGCATAAGCGTCACATTCACAATGTGCTCCAGCACTTGTCTCCAAAAGAGCACTGCATTATGCATGTCCCTCTCCAGCTGCGCGTCAGTGGTGCCATGGAGTTTCCACTGTTCATACACCACACAGACTCCAACATGTAACTGAGAGGACTTGTGTAGTTCAATTTTTTCAGACTGATGTCCCCAATCTCTGACTCCCTTCACCCATGCATTGATGAAGTTGGGTGAACTGCAGTCTCCCAATAGCCAGCAGGACACACAGTATGCACAATCCAATTATGGAGATTAGCAAAGCCAGCTGCATGGCAGTTTGATGCCGGCTTTTGTTTTTTTGTGATAAAACCCTCCTGAAAAACAACGATTATGTTGATTTCTGGGGAAAGGACCACTAGGTTTACAAGACCCTGTAGTTATGATGTAACATTTTATATATAGGATCTAAAATATTTTGGTTGGTGGGGGCTGGTCCTCCTGCTCTTGTTCAGAACAAGACGACACCAGTCTGCTCTTGTTCAGGACAAGAGCAGACTGGTGTCACCTTAACCTGGTCCTGGCTTCTATCATCTCCAGTAGGTGTTGCTGTTTGGGTTGGGTCGCTTGAGATACTGACTGCAACTAAACTGATGGTTCTGACTGGTTAGGCCTGCAACAGATAATATAGAAATATTAATGGTTATCTAGGGCTAGGAATAGTATATAGAATAATACAATAATTCATAGGCTAACTATCCACCTGGTAGAGACATTAATTTACTAGTAGCTTACAACTTAGCATAACGTGACAATTAAATAATACATGTCCAAGTTAAAAAAACATGTATGCCTTCTCTTAAAATTTACATCTAACACAATAACCAAATGATGATTATTTAGACTGACGCTTCTAAGGTTACCTGCTGCATGTCTGTTGACACACCACTGAGGTCAGCAGCGTAGATGCTGAGGCATGCTAAACCGATGTACTACTGCTGCTAGGAGGGGGCTTGTCTGTGGGATGGTTAGTGTTTGTAAAAAAAATAAAACAAAATAATCTAATTTAGGGAGCTTTGCAACCTTCTCCTCCTGTTCTGTTCTCTCCTGTCTTTTCTTGTGACCACTTTTGTGTTTAAATGGCATGACTGCTCATTTGGCTTGCCTTGCTTGCTCAGCTTGTCAGTCTTGACAGATTTTGCATTTCACCTGGGCGGAGTCTTGTCGTCTTGTCACATGATCAAATATAGACTTTTGGGCAACAACATACACATATTACCCAGCAATCATCATTGCATCATTGCATTATATGACATGAATACCAAAGAAAATATCCATTTGATTGAATGGTTTTTAATAGTTTTTTCATAGTTTTTATAGTGTATGTAGAATAATCCTATAATTTTGTTATACTTTGCTTGCTACTGACTTTTTTCAATAAAATTACTGACACCATGACAAAGGTGGATATGCACATTTTAGGGTATATATACCAAATAATCTCTCTTCAAAAAAAGAACAGGAGCACTGACTTGAAGCATGTTCACCACATTCCTGTGTGCTCTAGACCCCCATTGTGGTTGCACTGTCTATACCTCCACCAGTGTCATCAACATTAAGGTCATAACAGTCGCTCTCCAGAGGTGTTTTAAACTGTAAAAATCCATTGCTATGATTCACATTTTATTTACCATGGTTTTGTCACATAAAAAGTCCTCTGACCCTCTCTCCTCAGACCCTCTGTGCTCTGGCTCTCTGTCCTCAGACCCTCTGTCCTCAGGCCCTCTGTCCTCTGACCTTTTGTCGTCACACCCTCAAATTGGACAAGGAAAAACTCCCCAAAAAACCCTTTCATGGGAGAAAGTATGGAAGAAACCCCAGGGAGCGCAAATGAAGATGATCCCTGTTCCAGGACAGACTAGACAACAGATGTCAATATGTACAGAACAGAGCATACAGGAGATTTACAGTAAAGACAATCAGGATGACAACATTATAGATTGTAATAAGGAATATGACAAGGGACATCAAACAACTGAGCCACACGACCTCCTCTCCACCATGAGGACCTATACCTGACAGACTAGACAAAAACAAATTCACATGGGGGACTGGGACTCCTGAGGATTCAGATCCAAAACTTCTGGACTGAAGCACCAACAACCAGGAGAGGAGAGAGGTCTAAGGACGGCTAACCAAGGACACTTCAACATGTAAACTGGAGGAGCTGCAATTTGAACCTCCAATCCTCGGATTTGGGGAAGACCTGCTCTACCTCCTGAGACACAGCTGCCCCCTAACATAACAACTGAAAAAACTCTGAACAGACACCAAAAATATGGAATTATTTGGATTTTCCATGTTTTATTACTTAAGTCTTAACACTGAGTCTGGTGACATGTCATGGACATATCTTCAGTGATCTCTTGTGACTCTGTGAGAGTAACAGTAACATACTAACCCTTCTCCTCTCTTGATGTCAGCAGGTTGTCTTCATGTTTGAGTTGAGGATGTCTCTGCAGTCTCTGATGGTGGCTCTGGTCATGGTCATGGTCTTCCTCAGTCCCTGCCCTGGCATGTCAGCCCCTCAAGGTGAGCCAGATGATGAGGCTTTTGATGTGGAGAACTATGACCTGAACAGTGAGGACTGGGAGAATCTGGACGTCAACATTTATGGAGACAGTTATGATTATGATGACTTGGACCAAGAGGTGAGGGAGAACAGGATATTCATGTTTGTAGTAACTGTGATAGAACATTACTATTAATACTCTGTCTTTGCTTGTGAGGAGAGCAGGTAACTTTAGTTGTTACCAAAGAGAATATCATTGTCCTCTGACTGTCCAGCTGCTTAATGAGAGAAGAGAGGTTGACATGCTTCTTTGAGCTGTCTTCAGTTATATATAAGCTCTGCAACCCAAGAGGCAGACACTGACACTGCGCAGGGCTGAAAGAAGTATTGAAATCTCTTTGCATGTTTTTAAAATCAATTCATATATACAGTTCATAAAAAGACACTTCAACTGAACATCAGTCAGAGAAAGTCAAGAAAATACAGTTTAACAGCAACAAAGTTCATGTTGGTCAGTCGTTCCATCGCTTTGGTGCATACTGAAAAATCTGTTGGATGTGTTACTATAAGATTTGTCCAGACATTTGTGGTTCCCAGAGGATGAACCCTAATGACTGTGACCCTCTTATCTAGCCTCTAGTGTCACCAACAGGTCAGAGTTTTCACTTATCCAGTGAAATCTCTCAACATCTACTGGTTGGTTGTGATTGACTCTGGTTTGATTCACATCCATGTCCACTTTAGGATTCATTGTAATCACTTTGCACCATCAGGTAAAATGTTTAATTTGTCTTTTACTTTGATTTATGACCAAATACCTAAAGATTTTCTAATGAAGTTTGTTTCCCTTGTAGCTCCTGTCCCAGTTTGTGATAGTACCAGTCTGGTCACTGATGCATTTTATCCTGTAGAAGGAAGTTTATAGAAATATTGATCTTTTGTTGAAATAAATGCATCAGAGTCTTGAGCGTACAGCTTAGCCATTAATTTTAAATGTTTCCCACTAGAACAGGTGGACATGTTCTCTCTGAATTTTGCCCCTAAGATGCCCACACAGGACAATGATACCACACCAGTTATCCATGGGTATGAATGCTTTGAATTAGTCAGTGCAAAAAAGATTGACTCTTGACAAGCAGGTCTCTCTCTTACATTATCAGAATCGCAACACAGACCTGTTGAACCTCTCCACACGCAAAGCAAAAATGCAGCTTCTCCTTAAATCTATGCAGGAGCATTTCTCCTCTGGATCTAAGAAAGCAGTGGTAACTTTCTGCTCTCTAGATCTGATGACACAGATATAATGAATGGTGTAGCTAAGTTTGAACTTTTAAAATTCATCACAAACAAACTGAAAAACTGTATATTGAAAAAAAAGTAAAGAAGATCAAGAAATTCACTTGCAGGGGGATAAGCAAGAAGAAGTGAAGAACTCACCTCTGGAGGATTCCAACCTCTACAGACTCTTCTCAGATCAGAGAGACGATGTCAACCAAGCAGACTCCACAGTCTGACCAACTCCTCCACATCTTTTGTTTAAGTGTTATTCATGTAGAGTGAGTCAAGCATCAGTCCACTACTGTTCATGTGTATCATAGATTAAACAGTGAGGCAGAAAAACAGGTGGATGGAGCCACAATGCTTATTGCCCGTATAATATGAATGTGATGATGCAGGTGTAACAAAAATGTTTACCTACAAAGTAATAAATAACTGCACCATTCATATAAAATAATGTGATTTGAACTGTCTTCATCTCTCTACTCCCTACTGGAAGGACAGATCGAGGTGGGCACCATAGCACCAGACACCCCCTCCCCAGCCTCCCAGTCCACGGCTCAGCATTATGAGGAGGAGAAGACTGTGCCCACCCTGCCTCCAGCTCCCATCTCCCTGGACTTCAAGGGACCAGGACTCTTTGGTCCTGAGACTGGTTTGGGTAGGTCAGAGCATCAGTTGGTTGTTTATCTACTATCAGCAGAGTTCAGCAGTTGTCAGCATTTGTATAAACCTGTCTGACTATAATGAAATGTCAGTAGACTGATGGGAGGAATGGTTTATTACAAATCTAATACTCTGTGATCACTAATGACATCACAGTTCATGTTAGGGTTAGGGTATTGACAACTGCTCGTCTGAAACACTTCCCAGTCCAGACTGCAGTTCCTCTGGTCCTCAGTCAGACAGTCAGATGGACAGATGAACAGACGGACAGATGAACAGATGGACAGACAGAGACACAGACAGTCAGACAGACAGAGACACAGAGAATCAGACAAACAGCCAGACAGAGTCTGACTGAAAGACAAACAGAGACACAGACAGACAGAGATTCCTAGAAGTTAGACAGACCATGTGGCTAATTGTGGCTAATTGTGTGTCTGTGTGATAAAACTCCACCCTCTATGTGTGTGCAGGTATGCCCACCTGCCTACTGTGTGTGTGTATTGGTGGGAGTGTGTACTGTGATGACACAGGCATGGATCAGATCCCACCCCTGCCCAAAGACACCACCCACTTTTATGGCCGCTTCAACAAGATCCGCCATGTGAAGAACACAGACTTTCTGAACCTCAGTGAGGACCCACCGTACACCCACCCTGTACTCATTCAGACCCACAGTACTGGCGACTGGTACATCATGGCTCATACGAAGTTTTGTTTGTCAGATAAGCTCCAGTCCATTGATCTAACGGGGAACCAGGTCTCAGGGATGGATGAGGATGTGTTTCGTTCCCTGACTCAGCTCCAGGAGTTATTGTTGGCTGATAACAACATACAGGTCCTGCCTGAGCTGCCAGTCACCATGAGACGCATAGATCTACGCAACAACAAGCTGGTCAACCATGGGCTACACTCTGAGGGCTTCAAGGTAAATATCCTGCACATATACTTAAAAAAAACATTATTTAATGTTGTTGTTGATTTTTCAAATGATTTCACTCGTGAAGATCTGTTTGTCTCAATCAGTATCTTTGAAAACAATGAGTGTAAGTAAAGTGTTGTGTGTCAGGTCTGAGAGAGAGATAACCTGATGATCTTCTAACCTCTGAATCTTCTCAGCAGCAGGTCAACTTTTGTCCCAGCCGTCACTGGCAGAGGATGAGCAGAGATTACTCTGTTGTCATGGAGACAGTTCAGCTCATGTGGTCTATGAATGGAAATCCAGTTACATGACAACATATGTGTTTGTAATCATATGGAGTTAGTTAATGAAATCAGACCTATTTTCATTTTAAACCAAAAACCATCACAGAAGATTTTTCCTTTGCCTGAAGTTCATCAGGTTTTAGTTCCTGTTTCTGCTCGAAGGATACTGTGATCTATATGTAATATGAACCAGCTGCTATCTTTATGCACTTAAATTTACATCAGTGTGTATAAAACCACCCCCTGAAGTATTTTTGCACCTCATGGAAACTACAGATTCATTAATGTGTAGCTGAAACATAAACATGGTGGTTTCTTGACATGTTATTCCCTGTGAACTCACCTGTGTCCCACTGATCCGCCTCATACACTGTAGTGTCTTCTTAGCATATTTTCTAGGAATATAGACACTTGCCTCTGTTGGGGGATGTGGTTTCTGACTCACCACTCTTTATTTTTGTAATGTGCTGCATTCAGTATCATAAACTTAAACTTTCTCCTTACAAAATAACAAAAGAGCTTGCTTGTGTGGTCAAAAGACATTACCGATCTCCCCTTCTCATCATGAGTTCAACCCACCTGTCTCAAATTACACATTCATTTATAGGATTTGTCACTCCCTGGTCCCGGGTACAATACATATTAAAAGACAGCAGGGGGAGACTTTCAACCATACATATCCATAAATAATATCAAAATAATAAGGTGAATTATCTTACACCCATCAAAGTAATTAATCAAACAATAATATCATAACAATGAAATAAAGTAAATCATAATAAAGTAAAATGGCCCTAACACACACTGTTTCAATCCATTTTTCTACTAAGTCTATCTGCTGCTCTGAAAGCTCAGGGATGTCCGGACAAAGTCATTGGCTTGTCACATTGTCACACCAAAGTCTACTGGCTAATAGAGACACAGTACTGACAACACATCCCGCCTAGCATTCATTTTTCTGTCTATTGAGAGTTAATGGACTTAATGGAACTGGAGTACTTAATTACTGGAGTACTAGTTAATAATCACATTTAATAATTCATTCAGTATGTGAGGCATGTGTATATGTTATAGAAACAAGATGGATGGGTAATGGGTAAGATCAAATTAATCTTCAGTTTCTACACCTGTACTTGTATATGTGTCCTGTGACTCAGGCAGGAACTGCTATTCTGCACACACCTAGGTATCTGTGGACAGACGCAATATAAAACACACACCAGCCCCCTAATGAATAATGGTGAGAGCCAGCTGCTTCCCTCTGACCTTCACAGGACTGCAGCCATGCTGCTCCACAAAATGATCACATGATGGAAAAACATGGGAGATGTATGCATGGGTATAGGTTCCCTCTTGTGGAAACTTTCATGTGTTGCTGTGTCCTTCCTCTATGCAGGAAATGAGCCAGCTGGAATTCCTCTACCTGTCTAGTAACAACCTGGATTATGTTCCCACTCCACTTCCACTGAGCCTGAGAGTGTTACACCTGCAGGTAGGGGCATGTCTATGTCACACTTCTTCTTTATTGTCTCTAGAGGAAAACAACAATACAAACAGCAAGCTGCTGTTGCACAGAACAACACAGTACAAAAAAGTAAAACAAATTATAAAACAGTACAACAAAGTACAACATAGGATAAAACAGTATAACACAGTATAAAGCATTACAAGATAGTATAACTGCCCAAGATAAGTACATCACAATATAACAAAGTGCAACAGAGTACAGCACAGTACAACACTGTATAATATAGTACAACACCGTTCAACACAGTATAATTCAGTACAACACAGTGAAACACAGTACAATACAGTACAACAAAATACAACATAGTATAACACTGTGTTGCAATGTGTTACACTGTAAAACACAGAACAACACAGTATAACATAGTACAACAAAGTAAAACACAGTGTAACATAGTACAACACAGGACAAACCAGTATAACCCAGTACAACATAGTTCAACACAGTATAACTCAGTACAACACAGTATAACACAGTATAACACAGAACAATACGGTATAACATAGTACAACACAGTACAATATATTATAACAGTACAAAACAGTACAAAACAATACAACACAGAATAACACAATACAACACTTCACAACAAAGTATCAACACAGTACATAACAATACATCACAGTACACCACAGTACAACACTGTACAACACAGTACAATATAGTATAACACAGGACAACACAGTACAACACAATATAACTGTCCCTGCTGAACCACAGGCTTGGACTCAAACGCAGACACAGACTCAGTTTAAACATCAGTCCTTTTAATCAGAACGAGGTCGATACACAGGTGATGAGTCAGAAGGGCAACAGTGTCCAAATCAGCAGGCAAAAGGCAAGGTCAAAAGGCAAAAACAGGTCAGGAAACTATTGGCTCTAAGAAACTCACAAGGAAAAATGCTGGAACGCTGTAACACTAAGACACTAAGACTATATACTCATGAGGGGAGACAATGAGATACAGGTGCAATAAATTATGGCAGGGCAGGCAATCACACAGGAGGAAAACACGCTTGGGCAGAAAGTAATGGACCTGAAGAGGTGAGTATCAAAATAAAACAGGAAGGACGAGACAAAGAACACTAGGAGAAACAAAAAGGTAACTCAACTATCCAGACGGGGCCTGACAATAACACAGTACAACACAATACAACACAGTATAACACAGTACACCACAATACAACAGAGTATAACACAGTAGAACACAGTACAAAATAGTATAACACAGTACAACACAGTACAACACAGAACAACACAGAACAACACAGTACAACACGGTATAACTCAGTATTACGCAGTATAACCCAATAACACACAATGTAACACAGTATACTACACTATAACACAGTACATCACAGTACAACACAATACAGGGATGGCTTGGATGTCAAGACAACACAGATGAATGAATTTTGCAATATTAATTACACTACATAGAGCCAACCCAGATGTTTGAGTGTTAAAAATTCTTCCTCACAATCAGGACAACAACATCCAGTCTCTGCAGGAAGACACCTTCTGTGACCGCCACGATCGCAACTTCATCCGCCGCAACCTGGAGGACATCCGCCTGGACAGCAACCCCCTGAACATCAACCTGTTCGCCCAGGCCTACGTCTGCCTGCCTCGCCTGCCTGTAGGGAGCCACTGACGCCTGCTTGAGCCGTAGTTCCAGCTCCAGTAGAGAAATGATGCAAGAATAGAAGCTGTTTGAATGTAATGTGTGTTTAGTGTTAGTATTGTGGTAAGGATTAATCGTGGTTGTTTAAAACACTCAAGGTTTTATCTAAATATTCACTGTAATAATATTGAACTAATATGTTAGCAAACAGCTGCACATTTCCATAGAAACATAGCAACATAGCAAACAACATCAGTCATGTTAGTGTCCACCTGGTGTACAGTGGATTTATCAGACTGCAAACAGCTGCTGCTTGTGGTTCATCAGTGGAGTTTGACCTGAAAGAGACTGAAAAGCTCTGTAGACCTAAGAAAACTAAGCAAAATAAGTCTCCTCTTTTAACCCTTTGAACACTCAGCTGTCTTGGTTTGATTATCTATCTTTATATTGTACTGGGTTATTCAGAAACATCATCATTTGCTGTGTCATTGCTCAATAATCAATCAATATATCAATTTTTTAGGACATGTTATGTTTTCAGACTCAAATTCTTCTTTTTCTGTTTTTCCTTATGTCTTCAACACATAATAACAAATGGCTGTATATGAATGTATACAAGGTTAGTGTTTCTGGATTGTAAGATCATGTTCAAGGGGCATTGTGTACCACTGTCAAAATACTGTGACATGACATAAAACTCATGTTCATAGATTTCATTACCTCTTGTGTTTTCCTGTATATTTCTCTGGATTCTAGCGCAGTTCTATAGTCCTTGCGCACCCCAAGACTTTGGTAATAAGTCCATGAGGGCTCATCACTGCCCATATGTATAATCTAGTGTTTGAGTGTGGAGTTTCTCTCACATCTTTATTTAAGAGCGTCTTTTATTCATGGTCTTTCATTTTGAGAGCTTGATTTCTTAATTTCATGTTCAGATTTTTTTAAATCGTGTCCCCCCTCTCTGAGACAGACTGTCTGCTGTCTGATAAATGAGCTTCAGTTTGTATTTTCTTCTCCTTAATCTCAGGCTGCTTCTCTGAGCTCTGCTCCCTACCTCTGCTCTCAGATTTCTGCTCTCCTCACTGATCCTGTCAAAAAAAAACCATACCAGCCAGGCATGACGTTGACCAATGAAATTGTCCTTGACTCATTGCGGACGTGTTTGCTTTACTTCCTACAGTGTCAATTTATGGATCATTAATTGCTTTTATACAGATCTGTTTAAAAAACCTACTGGTAGATCTCTCTCTCTCAAATTAAATCGAAGGCAACTGGACTTGTATTTGTCTGTGGAAGACGTTTCGCCTCTTATCCAAGCGGCTTCATCAGTTCATCATGTATTGGTCTCTCTAGTCCGCACTAGTCTGACCAAGAAAATGGAGTAGGACCCAGGTATTTAACCTCTTGTGGGTGGGTCCACCAAAGTACCTGTGAAAGTACTGGTTTCACCTGACCATTGTTGTGGTCTCAAGTGGACGACCGTCGTTAGGGGTCAGGTGACCCTGTTGTTGTCCCCTGTGAACGACAGTCGTTAGGGTCAGGTGAGCCCCTGGTGGATGACGATCGTTGAGAGTCGTCTGAGGTTATGTTGTTGACCCTCCTGCGTACCGATGAAAGGGCGACATTGTAGATGGGGGATAGATGGTGTCGCAGACCACCTCCCCTGTTTAGCGATGGCCTCTCCACTTTTACATAGATGGCTTCCTTGACTCCCCTTTCAAACCATCTGTCCTCCCTGTCCAAGATTTTGACATTGCTGTCTTCAAAGGAGTGTGCCTTTTCCTTTAGGTGGGAGTAGACAGCTGAGACAGGGCCTGAAGAGTTTGCCCTCCTGTGTTGGGCCATACGTTTGTTTAAAGGTTGTTTAGTTTCCCCAATATATAGGTCATTGCAATCCTCACTGCATTTGACCGCATATATCAGGTTGCTTTTCTGATTGTGTGGTACTGGTAGAAACACTTTATTAATGACTGACCCTGATCATCCCTTATCCTTAAAAATAATGTTCTGTTTATAATAATAATAATAATAATAATAATAATAATAATAATAATAATGATAATAATAATAATAATAATAACGATAATGATAATAATAATACATTTTATTCATAGCCGCCTTTCAGGGCACTCAAGGACACCTTACAAAGCACAGTAAAAGGTAAAATGGAAGTGTAACACAGTGCACTCACCACCAATGAATTAACCGTGAGTTAATAACTCTGTATGATCTTTGGGCCTATCTTCTCTAGGTTTTTACTCAGGAGCGAATGACACATAGCTAATTTGAGGTTAAAGCAACACTAATTTTATTACAACATTCAGAAAAAATGAACATTTGGATCCAATAACAATTTGTCCTGATGCTGTTCCCTTAGTCTTTTTGTCAGTCTGTATATAGTTCATTCGTCCGCGGTTCAAAGGTTATTTTCAGTTCAGATGTATGGTGTGTGATATGTTTAAAAAAACAACAGGAGATTCACGGATTAATCACTTAACAGGCACATCGGCATCACAAAAGAAAATCCTCTGGTCTCCCAGCAAGCAAAACCATAAAGAGAGGTATCAAAAATAAAAACTTCTGGCTCAATGCTTATTTACAAGCTCCTAAAACTTTCCCCTCAACAGCACTTGTGCAATGTCTTCTTCTCCATAGCTCAGCTCTCTCCTTTTTTATTTTAGCGCAGCCTGAGTCAGGATTACTAGTGCTATGCTGGGTTAGAGCGCCCTCTGCTGACCATTTATAGGAACATAAGGATTAACTTTACCAGTCAAAATAATGTGGGTTACAGAAGTACAAGGCATAAAATAAAAAATAATGAAGAACAAGGCATAAATTCTGGTATAAATTAGCAAGACATACGTAAAAAGTCATAATAAGACATAACAAGCAAAAGTTTGTATCAAAGTAGAAACTAATGAAACATAAGCTGTACTTGCCATACCTATTCACCAAATTATACTCTAATTAATATATTATTTAACAAATTATTTGTATAGTAGCATCTAACTGTAGCATATTTTAGATCTGACATGACATTGTATTTTATTTCTCATTAGACTATGATCTTATAAAATGGTGTCAATAGCATTAATTAGAGTGTAATTTGGTGTAATAGTTTCTTAGTGTTTATTTTGGATCTAATATGTAGTTATAGGTGGCTTCTAATTGCAGCATAATTTAGTTGTAGCCTCTAAAAAGGGTTTGTTTAATGTCTAATTAAGAACATTATTTATAGTTTTGTCTAAATTGATACAAACTATGGCTTGCTATGTCTTATTATGAGTTTTTACATCTAATTATTGTATAATTTATTACAAACTATGGCTTATTACATCATATTAGTGTACCGTAAAATAAAGTGAGACCGAAACTTTTTAATGATGCTGATGAAAATAATCTTGTCCACCCACAGTCACATATTATACATTTAACTGATTTGCTGAATTGGTAATATTTTTATTCATATCATACTTTGTATGTGTGCTATGTCAGAGGTTTGTCAAGCAAGCAACAGAATTGTTGGAATTTCCTTTCAGAACTTTTCAGAATAAAAGCTCACAGAAGCTTGAAATAAAGCATTGCTGCAAAAAAAAAAACAAACAACTTTCTTGCACTTTTATTTTCTAGGCAAATTTGCAAAAGAGGAAGTTATTCTGTGGGTGACTGCTACTGCTCAGATGGAGATCTATTTTAGCAACAGAGATTTTTTTTTTAGATAAAAAAACAACATTAATTACCTTGATGGGTGTAAGAGTATACCTAATTATTTTGATACTATTTATGGCTATGTATAGTTGAAGGTCTCCCCCTGCTGTTTAATATGTATTGCATCTGTGGTAGGGAGGTGGGAGTAATGAATCCTATAAATAAATTAGTAATTGGAGACAGCTGGGTTGAACTCATGATGAGAAAGCAAGATCAGTAATGTCTTTTGACCACACACACAAGCTCTTTTGTTATTTTGTATGGAGAAAGTNTTTACATAGATGGCTTCCTTGACTCCCCTTTCAAACCATCTGTCCTCCCTGTCCAAGATTTTGACATTGCTGTCTTCAAAGGAGTGTGCCTTTTCCTTTAGGTGGGAGTAGACAGCTGAGACAGGGCCTGAAGAGTTTGCCCTCCTGTGTTGGGCCATACGTTTGTTTAAAGGTTGTTTAGTTTCCCCAATATATAGGTCATTGCAATCCTCACTGCATTTGACCGCATATATCAGGTTGCTTTTCTGATTGTGTGGTACTGGTAGAAACACTTTATTAATGACTGACCCTGATCATCCCTTATCCTTAAAAATAATGTTCTGTTTATAATAATAATAATAATAATAATAATAAATAATGTTCTGTTTATAATAATAATAATAATAATAATAATAATAATAATAATAATAATAATGATAATAATAATAATAATAACGATAATGATAATAATAATACATTTTATTCATAGCCGCCTTTCAGGGCACTCAAGGACACCTTACAAAGCACAGTAAAAGGTAAAATGGAAGTGTAACACAGTGCACTCACCACCAATGAATTAACCGTGAGTTAATAACTCTGTATGATCTTTGGGCCTATCTTCTCTAGGTTTTTACTCAGGAGCGAATGACACATAGCTAATTTGAGGTTAAAGCAACACTAATTTTATTACAACATTCAGAAAAAATGAACATTTGGATCCAATAACAATTTGTCCTGATGCTGTTCCCTTAGTCTTTTTGTCAGTCTGTATATAGTTCATTCGTCCGCGGTTCAAAGGTTATTTTCAGTTCAGATGTATGGTGTGTGATATGTTTAAAAAAACAACAGGAGATTCACGGATTAATCACTTAACAGGCACATCGGCATCACAAAAGAAAATCCTCTGGTCTCCCAGCAAGCAAAACCATAAAGAGAGGTATCAAAAATAAAAACTTCTGGCTCAATGCTTATTTACAAGCTCCTAAAACTTTCCCCTCAACAGCACTTGTGCAATGTCTTCTTCTCCATAGCTCAGCTCTCTCCTTTTTTATTTTAGCGCAGCCTGAGTCAGGATTACTAGTGCTATGCTGGGTTAGAGCGCCCTCTGCTGACCATTTATAGGAACATAAGGATTAACTTTACCAGTCAAAATAATGTGGGTTACAGAAGTACAAGGCATAAAATAAAAAATAATGAAGAACAAGGCATAAATTCTGGTATAAATTAGCAAGACATACGTAAAAAGTCATAATAAGACATAACAAGCAAAAGTTTGTATCAAAGTAGAAACTAATGAAACATAAGCTGTACTTGCCATACCTATTCACCAAATTATACTCTAATTAATATATTATTTAACAAATTATTTGTATAGTAGCATCTAACTGTAGCATATTTTAGATCTGACATGACATTGTATTTTATTTCTCATTAGACTATGATCTTATAAAATGGTGTCAATAGCATTAATTAGAGTGTAATTTGGTGTAATAGTTTCTTAGTGTTTATTTTGGATCTAATATGTAGTTATAGGTGGCTTCTAATTGCAGCATAATTTAGTTGTAGCCTCTAAAAAGGGTTTGTTTAATGTCTAATTAAGAACATTATTTATAGTTTTGTCTAAATTGATACAAACTATGGCTTGCTATGTCTTATTATGAGTTTTTACATCTAATTATTGTATAATTTATTACAAACTATGGC